CAACTAGACTTTTGAACAAACAGCCGTTCAAAGCCATCAATGTCATTGTTACTCATGAACTAAAGATAGATGTCATTTTATATTTCCTCTCAAGTTCGTCAACCGCAACTATTAAAAATGGTTTTGTGTTAAACAGTTTGGTTATTTTTCTTCATTTTGTTAAAGTTGGAATTCAAGTTACATCTCTTCAAAATATTTTTATATTCGAGCTATTAGAGCTCTAATATATTAGAGCTATTTTTTTTTCCCTCTGCTGAAAACTATACCTGATCAAATCATGGATTGAGTACTTTAGATTTTGGATGTTTTATTTGGTTTCATCTCTCTTGTAGTATTAACAGAGGCAGAGCCCCAGGAGATTGGTCATCTTGTCCTGACTAAGCCTGTATGACTACGATGGAAGGACTAGTCAGATAAACCACCAGAGCAGCCAAGGATAGGTTAAGCATCCATATTAAAAGACTTTTTTTTTTCATTTTTAAATTTACATTGACAATACACTCAAGCATTGGACATCATCTGCATTTAAAGTAAATGCAGCAACATATGTAAGGATATGTTAGCCACTCAGCATATGGATACCAGACATTCTCTTATTTCAACCCAATGTCCCGGTTACACAAAATACGAAGGCAGATATAAAAAAAAAATAAATATCTAGCTTTCCTCATTTTAAGTGACATTCTGTCTAGCCACAAAGCCATATCTTACAGGTCTAACAAGAAGTGAGGGGGGTTTTTGTTCGGTTGGGATTTTTTTCTTTTTAAGAACAAGCTGAAGGACACCAACAAGTCTTTAAAACAATCAGACCACAGAAGACATGGCTAGAAGGGTCCTTTAAAGGTCATTTTGTTTCAAGGCTCTGACACTCCATGCTGATGTCTGGATCTTAATTTTGATTAGGACATAATGAGGCATAAGCACAGGATATGATGCATGCTGCCTCCCGCATGTGCCTACTGCTGAAATCCAAGCCTGTGATACCTTCATAAACGATGTTTGGTAACTCCCATTTAATCCTTCCCATTTTCTCCAGGCAGTATCAACTATGTCATTTCAAAACTATGTTTGACTAACCTGTTCCTAAAGACCTCCAATAAAAAGTATGAAAAGGTACTTCACAATAAGATTTGGAAGTGTTTATGTAATCAATTTTAAATCTACTTCAAGCTAAGAGCAATAATCACTGCAATAAACATGAGCCCAGGCTACAAAAGGGAATAGCGCAGCGTCTCCATTTGGAGCCCTCTCTCATCCATATCACCATTTCATCACTTATAACACGGTACTGGCCAAACGAAACCTTTCTTCCTAGATTTATGTCATCTTCTGTTTCAACTTGCTTTCCTGTCACACGATCCAGGTGCAATACCAAGTATATCTGATGTCAGGGTTCCGCCTACTTGGCAGTCTTCACCACCCTATGATGTATCCTTCAGTAACTTTTATTGCGGTGATGGCAGCTCTTCAGCCAACGGCATGTTCTCCCTGGAGTAGGTGAAGCTAACTAGGAAGCCAGCTCAGCTGGACTTGGGGCAGATCAAAATACACGTAATTGAAAGCAACTGAGTAAATTCTACACTATTTTAGCAAGCTTTTTAAATAATGGATCTCAACTTTGCTCTCGTATAAACTAAAAATACCTACATTCTTAATGTAGAGTGTTTATTTAACATACAATCCTAAAGAAGAAAGTTAACTTCGGAAACAGTAAGAACTTAAAACAAATTTTCATGGTGGTAAGCCCTTTTTCATGGTTACACACATAGCAACCACATATTGAACACCAGTTTTCAAGAACAGCTTAATCCCACCAACAACAGGAAAACTAAAAGATGTATTAGATGGCTTGACGTGGCTCAGAGAAATAGACTTTATCCTGTTCCCAAGTCCACACAAAACCCCTTCTGTGAGCCACACCCCCTGGTAGGGAGCAGAAAAATTTCTACAAGATAAAAACTTAGTAGTGTATAAAATAGCAGAACCTCAAATCCTTCTTCCTCTCCCAGTTCTCTGCGGCAGGGCACGCTGCCTGACATTCACCGAGTGGGAAGGTAAGTTATGCAGAACTGTAAGCAGAACAGCAGAAGAGCTGGTTCCTCTATTTCTTTAGCTATATCACAAAACATACCATGTTAAAAGTCAGACAAGTGACTTCATTGCAATTAAAAAGATCATGGGTTTTACCCAAAGGACTGAAAAGTAGACCCAGAACTTCTGAAATTTTTTTTTTTTCCAAAGTCACTATAACAGAAGTCCACAGGCCACAACTTTCAAGATGCTTCCTTAGTAATGTCTTTAAAGGAAAGGAAATAAAGGAGGCAAATTAGGACAACGTGTAAGGAGATTCCTATTGAAATAGTAAACCATTAATATTCATCAAGATACTACTGCAAATAAAGTTTTCTACAACAGCAAGCAGAAAGTAAAAGAAGATAAAAGAATTCTTTAGGACAGTCAGCACAGATGCTACAGAATATTAAACTTAGTAACTCACAATTTTCCATTTTGCTATCAGATTGCACAAACCACCTCCACAGTCAAAGAAATGGACTAAACCAGTAACTTGTTTTCCAAGAAAGACAGTTCCTTTCATTTCAACCACACTGCACCCATCAGATTGGCTCAACATTCCAAAAAAAAATAAATAAGGTTGCAATGGTCAAGTCTGGATAAAACACATACCTCTCATAAACATACCATATCACAAACATATCTATGACAGGTATTTTCACGTATGTACAACATAACTGCCCTCAGCACATAAGAAAATGATCACCTTTGCGCTTACAATTGAAACTATGGTCTTTCATCTTATAGCACTTTGGAAAGCATCACTAAGCTGTCCTGCAGCATGAGTACTAGTTTTCAGACTGCATTATCCTTGTCCCCTCAAGTTAATTTATCATGATACAAAGAAACAGAGATCACAGTGAAGTACACTACCAATATAAGTATACACAGCTCCCAAAGAGCCACAATAACAGTTAATACAATATTCTATAACATATTCTATTTCATCATATTGTTACAGTTTCTGTTGTGCTGCCCAAGGCATGGTTTGCTTCTTTTTTTTTTTAATCTGGCAGAAGCTGCCTGTGTTTCAAGCCTGATTGACTCTCTCATGAATTACTTCAGAAAATATTTATCAGTCTTTTATTCTCTTAATAAAAGTTTTCTAAAAAAAGCCTTTTACATGCAGCTTGTGTCAGAAGTAGTGATTAAATCTTTATGGCAACGGTCCCCAGACTGAAGCCCTTGAAGCCCTGTCAAACCACTACATGGCTGACAAGAAGATGAGTGGTCTGTTGGTCAAAGAGTTTGGGGGGCACCGTTCACACATTACTCTGTGGCAAACCACTGAAGCCCTGGAACAACTCGCAGACAACATTATTCAATCACTTATAACCATACAAATATTTGTACAGGGCTAATGTTTTTCAAATTAACTTTTTGTTGTCAATATTATCTTCACCCTCAGTGTCATTATTGTTTTGATTTTGCGAAAATGTAGAAGGTGAGCACAACCACAGAGATAAGCACAGGACACCAAGTCTGGAAATAGACTTATAAGATGGCTTGTTCTATTACAGATAATGCTGTCAATCCAATTTGCTACAGGAGTTTGGCAAGACAATGAGTTGGAGGAAGTTACCCTGTACAGCCGCTTTCTATTGTATTGCTTTATAATCTTGCAGGAAAGAGAGCTTCACGAGCTTATTTATGTTGAAATAATTTTTTTTTTCCTTAATTTTTGTAGTAACATCCCAAGTCAGAGTCTATGCCACTGAACAGTCTGCACCACCTGTTGCTGACTGCAGCTTTTATGCACCAAGTTTGAAGAACTACAGTCTAGACAACACTTGTTTTGTATGTGGTTTTTTTTTTTTCCAATGCCTTCTTCCTTTTTTTTTCCAAATATCCTCTACAACTGATCCCAAATGCACCGTCCACCTCCTGCCAGGCAGGAACCCCGGAGGGAAAGTGAAAGAGCGGCGCGGCCAGGCCACGGTTCCGTGTCTGCTCTGCAAAGCAGCGCTGCTCTGCCCGCCGGGAGCCGGTGCCGGGAAGGACAGCGCTTCGGGGACGGGGGATTATTGACGAGTCCCGCAGGAAGAGCCCGGCCGATGCGGGGACGGCAGAGCTCTGCCCCCGGCCGCGCTCACACACCGGAGCGGCACCGCGGGAAGCCGAGCGAGCGGGGCGGGCAGGGACTCCCGCCCGCAGCAGGCAGGCTCCCGCCGCCCCTCCTCACAGAAACACCTCAGCTCCTCACCCGGCGGCTCCCGGCCCCGCACACGGGAGCGACGCGCACACGGCGGGCCCTCCCTGCGTGGGAGCGGGCAGGAGCCGGGCCCGGGTGCCGGGAGCACCCCACCCTCGGTGGCCCCGAGGGCAGGAAGCCCTCCTCCCCCCCCGCCTCCACGGAGGAAGCCCGGAGCCGCCGCCCGCCTCGGGAACGGGCCCCCGCCCTCCACCGGCTCCGTTGCCGCCTCAGCCCGCGGGCCCGGCCGCCCGCCCTCACCTCCTCGGCCTGCTTGCGCAGCGCCTTCTCCCGCTCGTACTGCGTGAGGAGCTGCTCGTTGTCGTCCCGCAGCAGCTCCAGCTCCACGCTGGTCTCCTGGCTGTGGGCGCACACCGAGTCCAGGTTCTCCAGGACGGCCACCACCAGCGGCATCAGCTCGGCCACCACCTCCTCGTCGTAGCGCCCGATGAGCCGCTCGAACTCGCGGTAGATGGAGCCCGCCAGCCCCGACACCCGCTCCGACATCATGGCGGGGCCGGGGCCGCCGGGGTCCTCCTGGTACACCACGCCGTCCGCCAGCTCCATGGCTGCCGGCGAGCGCCTTCCCTACGGG